ATATATGTTGTGGTGTTATTTGTACAAAATCAATGTATGAAAATACAATTAGTGTTTCTGTGTTACTTTTCATGCTATATACCTTCTTTATATGCCCTAAATTTGCTGGCTGAAAAACAGAGAGACGCCAGTATCTGACAGTACTGGGGGAATAGTGTTAGACAACAGAAATTACCAAATCGTCTAGATTTTGCAAATTAACCAACGTAAAAACATTTTATCAGGTGAGAGTTTGAGGATATATTTAGTAACGTTAGTTCTTACTTTTAATGTAAAAAAATGGCAATTTTTTTACAAATTTTACCATGGAAAATTCGTGACATAGTCAATTTTAAGGTGACAATTAATTAAAACAAGTAGTGGGTAATTTAAAACAAGTGAACACTGTCTTGATCGTCTCACCGATTGCCGTCGCACTGTCGTTCTGACGCAGCGTCGCCATTGGTTTCTGTCGCCTCGACTTCTTCCTTCTTCTTTTTCTTCTTCTTCTTCTTCGCCGATTCGGTTTCCGCGCCAGCCTCCTCCTCCTCTGCCTCTACAGGTTCCTTTGCTTCTTCGACTTCTTCTTCTTCTTCTTTGGTGTCTCCTCTGTGACTGCCGCTTCCTCGTCTTTCTCCCTGCCGCCGCCGCAGCTTCTGCTTCTCTTCTTCCTTCATCCTCCTCCGCAAAAAGGTATAGGCTCGCGTTGTAACCCTATCCTCTTGGGTTTGGGTTACATTATTGTATCTAGCAAAATGCATGCACTGCTAATGCGGCCCGTACCCCCGTATCGGCGGGTAAAAAAGCCTACTGTTCCCTTCTACATGGCTTTACCTTGCTACTGATGTGCGTGAATATTCACTTCAATCGTTATTCACTTCTTAAAAGATTGTTTTTCAGAAACCCCGCTTCATTCCACTTTAGTAAATTACATTCGCCATTCACAAACAATCAGACCAATCAGAGCGAGCCTTACAATAGCCTGGTTTTCTCTTGTATCTGTGGCGCTGCAGGAGGGCTAGAGAAAATTATTTTAGTCACGTGGGTTCGTGCGTTCCGCTCTGGTTTTGCTTCAAATTTAAATTTGTATTCCGAATAAATTTCTTCTAAGTAGTCCATTGTGATTTTCCTCTAAGTAGTCGACGTAGTACCCACGTGAATAAAATATTTCCTCTAACCCTACGGCAGCGCCACAGATACAAGAGAAAACCAGGCTATTTTTATATCTCTCTATGATTGGTCTGATTGTTTGTAAATTGCGATGTAAAACAATCTTTTAAGAAGTGAATAACGATTGAAGTGAATATTCACGCACATCAGTATCAAGGTAAAGCCATGTAGAAGGGAACGGTAGGCTTTTTTAGCCGCCGATACCGGCGTACGGGCCGCATGATCAGCGCATGCATTTTGCTAGATACAATAATGTAACCGAAACACAGGATAGGGTTACAACGCGAGTGTATCCTTTTGTGTGGAGGAACCCTTGAGTGAATCACTCAGGGCGGTTTGCTGGTGTGTTTTCAGAGACTAGAACTTCCAAACTGAGTTTATTCTCAACACAAACCTTTCTCCGCTATCCTGGAACTTACTATGTATCACAATACTCTGTATTAAACTTATATAAACCTGTTACAAAAATTTGAAGTGATGAGCGGCAGATATTTCGAGCGCCATTTCTGTTGACCTGTGACGTATACATTCCCAATGCGCATAACGTTCGGCTAACTTCGACTCCAAGATCGAATGTATCATTGGATGCCTGCTGCCAGTCGTGACGTCATGACAAAGTTAGCCGAACGCTATGCGCATTGGGAATGCGTACGTCACAGGTCAACAGAAATGGCGCTCGAAATATCCACCGCTCGTCACTTCGAATTTTTGTTCCAGGATAGCGGAGAAAGGTTCGTGTTGAGAATAAACTCAGTTTGGAAGTTCTAGTCTCTGAAAACGCACCAGCAAACTGCCCTGAGTGATTCACTCAGGGGTTCCTCCACACAAAAGGATACACTCGCGTTGTAACCCTATCCTGTGTTTCGGTTACATTATTGTATCTAGCATTTTGCATGCGATCTCACGAAATTTCAATGCACCCCGTTCTGTCCCAGTATAACGCATCCAAAATATAAAACGTTATGTGAGACAGAATTATTCGGTCTACGATTGTTGGTACTCAATGGTATAGTGACTAGTGTGCCAGCGTTCGCCTAACAAACAAGTTGAAGTAACATGCATTTACAGCACAGGTGTGTCAGCAGTACACTGTACAGTGTCAGTGGCACTGGCACTGGCAGTACCTAACAGTAACACTAACAGTTCAATAATCTCATACTAAACCCAGGGTGCGAAATTAACGGGAGTCCGGAGTCAAATACTCCCTGATTTGACATATGCAGGAGTCCGTGTGACTCCATGAAAATTCTGCGATACGGACTAGTTCGTTCCGCCTCGAGCACGGCCTCGCGGAATTACCGCATTTTTTCAGCTAATGTCCCAAGAAAATTTGGCAGACGTGCAACTGCATGAATCTTAAAAATAAGCCCATGCGTTATTGTTAATATCTTTAATTTTGAACCTCAGACTGCGGACTCCCTCATTTTGCTGCGCACTACGTCAGTACGTGACTCCCGTGTGACAAAAGTTAATTACTACACCTGTTTAAAACCAAACTACACCTACGCTCTATTACCATGGTATTGTTATAAACAAGTAAATTACCTTTGTAACCTTCTTAGTTCCCATCTTAGTGAATGGCAAATGAAATTAATGAGAGTAAAAACTACGCCTGATCTTTGCCAACACGTGCAGTTGCTTGAAAAGACTGCGCATGCTCCTTCTTCATACAGAGAGTAACAACTTATTTAGTATACGGTAGTATTCAAACTGATCTGCTATTTAAAAATCGTAAATAATATTTAAATGTGTCTATTCTAACCATAAAATTTTAAAATAAAGTGTTTGTTATATTACACATTAATGATTTATTTTAGCTTACTATTAAGTTTGAAAATATGCTTGAAGTATAATAGAGATCTTGTCTTTTCTAGCCTCGTTCATGTTCTCGTGGTGGTTTGTAACTGAACTTGTGTCTGATCGTAGTCACTTCTATAGTTGATTGTAAACGTTTTAATACTTATAATTTACGCAGATCTTTATCGAATTGCAATGGCGAAGAAACAGCAAATCACGGTGAGTACCAAGCTATTGTAGAAAAAATCTCAGGTGGAGTTTTTATGGGAACTGTTTTGTACATTTTCGTTGGTGTAGCAATGTAGGCAGCGCGTGTGCGTCCATGACCACGTGCGTTGAATCAATGTCGGTTAGCCATATTAAACTGTAATACTATAACAGTACGTTATAATCAACACTAATTCGTTCTAATTATAGCAAAATTAGTGGGAAATAATGACATATCTATCTCGCTGTAGATGAATTCCCTTTCTGCTAACTGATTTTGTGCACCTGTTAATGTTACAAAGAGTAAAGCTAAGGCGCAACAGCCGCAGAGCCAGAAGAAGAAAGCATTGCCAGCAAAGCTAGTGCAAGAAGAGGAAGAAGAAGATGATGATGATGACAGCGACGCGGAGGTAAAACACTTCGTTTTTAATTTTTTTTTATTGAGTACAAGATGTGCGGGATTTCTTAATCCGTATGACCCCGAAAAAAATCTTCAGTATCACCCTGACCCCAAACCCTAACCCTTCACCATCTATATCCCCGATTCTAACCTAATCATAACTAACTTTATCTGAAACCTATCATTAAAAGTATGATAGTAGAATAACTGAAAACAGTAGGATATTGAACCAAACGGTCTAATAATTGTTGGATCTGTGAATGAATGTGAGAAAATTTTAATGTGTAGGGGCCCTATAGTTTTTGATTGTCAGTTTTCCCTCTCTGTTGTACGCCTGGCTTAAAATGTGTGTGTGTTTTAGGAGATGGACGAAGAATTGGATTCGGATATGGAAGGAGAAATGGACGATGGTAAACTATTTCATCCTTTGTGTGACCGTTGTGATTTTGTAAACATCAATCATTATTGAAAATGGCGAGTAAAACAAAACAACGATTATTACGATTGATGTAAATGTTTAAATGAGTTTGCAGTCACGAATCTGTATTGCCGTCACCAATAGACAATCAATAGACAATAGTAATTAGATAATCATTAATTAATTGTTTCCGCAGATGAGGAAGAGGTGCCGGTTCCACAAGCAAAATCTAAGAAGTCACAAAAACAAAAGCCAGAGATTGGCGGCGGGGACACAAAATCTCCACAGAAGAGAAAATCAGACACGATCGAACATTCGGCAAAGAAAGCAAAAGTTAACAAGGGTAATCTAACAGGTGACTGAGTATTCACGATCCATGTCAGATGATATCACTTCAGTTACTCCGAATCATTCTATTGCAATAGGGACGATCTCTATTTACTCGTATGCGGCATCTATTAGAAGCGTAGGTTAGTCTAACTTGCTTTCTTCCCACTTTTCAGCATCTAAACTAGGGCAGGAAGAAGTACAGAAAGAACTGCACCAGATCGGTGAGTTGTGACATTGATTCGATTTGGTGAGAAATGATATAATAATGAACATGTGATCTTGAAGTTCCCTGCCAGCTGTGGATACTAATGTTCTCGGTCCCTTTTAGCGCGGTATATCGGGCTGCGCCCTGATTTCAAACCCTGGCCTTGCGCGAAACCAGATATAATCGCACGCTCTCACCTCTTCTCACGCACACGCTTCCCTCATACTCTCTTCTCCCTCCCTCCCTCCCTCCCTCGTGCTCTCTCCTCCCTCTTCGCGCTCTCTCCTCCCTCTAAACACACGCACAGTCCTCCCTCCTGGCGCTCTTTCCTCCTCCCACACGTGCACTCCTCCCTTCTCCCACATGCACTCCTCCCTTCTCCCACACGCGCACTCCTCCCTTCTCCCACACGCGCACTCCCCCCTCCCACACGTGCACTCTCCTCCCTTCTCCCACACGCGCACTCCCCCTGGTGAAAAACAGAGAGACGCCAGTATCTGAACAGTACTGGGGGAATAGTGTTAGACAACAGAAATTACCAAATCGTCTAGATTTTTGCAAATTTAACCAACGTAAAAACATTTTTATCAGGTGAGAGTTTGAGGATATATTTAGTAACGTTAGTTCTTACTTTTAATGTAAAAAAATGGCAATTTTTTTACAAATTTTACCATGGAAAATTCGTGACATAGTCAATTTAAGGTGACAATTAATAAAAACAAGTAGTGGGTAATTTAAAACAAGTGAACACGTCTTGATCGTCTCACCGATTGCCGTCGCACTGTCGTCTGACGCAGCGTCGCCATTGGTTTCTGTCGCCTCGACTTCTTCCTTCTTCTTTTTCTTCTTCTTCTTCTTCGCCGATTCGGTTTCCGCGCCAGCCTCCTCCTCCTCTGCCTCTACAGGTTCCTTTGCTTCCTTCGACTTCTTCTTCTTCTTCTTTGGTGTCTCCTCTGTGACTGCCGCTTCCTCGTCTTCCTCCTGCGCCGCCGCAGCCTTCTTGCTCTTCTTCTTCTTCGGAGTCTCCTCGGTAGCTTCCTCTTCCTCCTTCAGCTTTCGCTTCTTATCTTTCTTCTCCTTTTTGGATTTTTTCCCCTCCGGGGTTTCTGCAATCAACGGGCGATTTGTAAGAAGACGCATGTCAACTATAAACCTCAGACACATGCGTAACGAGCCAATAATCATGCAGTAACACGATAGAAGGCAGAAACATAAAGAAAAGAACATCTGCCGAGGGTCATAACCTCATGAATATTAGTCATCAAAGTCCGAGGGACCAGATCGAAGACGGAAAGAGACAGAGTTGATCAACTAGACACATCCAAGGTTCTCCCCCGGATGAAATTGAAACAGGGGGGAAGGGAAACCAGGGCGGTCCGGGGCGTGTTTTTTTTACCGTACCACTAATGCGTAAAACCGCCTCCACACCATAAAGTCATAGACGGTATTTGGTACTATAACACTTGTATATATAAGATAGCCGAGTTGGTTTACTGTTAGTGTTAGGGTTAGGGTTTGGGACAGGGCGACTGTTTGTACTTGTGTGTGGCTGCAGCGCATGCGTAGTGTAGGACGTTTAAGCATTTAATAGTGGTACGGTAACAAGAGCCGCAGAGCGTCTGGGCTCATCTGAGGTCTGTTGCTACGATTATAAACGTAAAATTTCAGTCGTGCGTAGTACCACCCAGTTTACCAAACATTTGTTAGGCGCAGATATGCCAGACACGCAGTTCGCGTACACATCATTGTTAGGACATGCCCACTATCGCAGATGGAGGGTTAGGGAGAGGTGGGCTGGAGGCGTGGGGGAAGGGCGGGGGGGAGGGGACTAAAGGTGGGAGGGGGAAGAGGGAGGATCGGGGGAGGGGGCTCTAATAGCAAAAGCAGTTTCCACTCCTTTGTCAGCAGTCAACACAATCCATGTTTAACCCTCCTCTATGAGGGTCAAAAGGTTAATCCGACACTTATCTTCGCAATGTCACGCAGAAGCGGACATTTTCATGGTCCTTTCAATAAAGCCATAAAATTTGCTAGCGTTCACCGCTGAAACAAAAAGGGTTTCTTCAATCGTCTCGCTCGCAGACCATGCCTCAGAAAATGTCTAAATCTGCCTGTGCCCCATTTGAACTCTTTGACCTGTGACTCCAATTTCGGCACCAGTTGAATGG